TCAACTTGTCGATCGATATGAACCAAGGTAACCCAAGCCAATAAAGCACGAAATTTAGTCATATAACCTTTAAAGAACTATTTTGCTTGGAGTTTAATCAATTCTCTCAATGTATTATTACGTAAAAAGGGACCAAATCTAAGATGACAATAGCGAGAGAACTCATACCAAGAAATTATCGGTTTTGTCTTTTTCCGGTTGTAGTACCACGTACTGCGCATTCCCCATCGGATGAAAGGTCGTTAGTCCCACCTTGTTTGCTTTAGGCATCCATTAGTTGTGAAAGAACTACCCATGATGGCTAAGTCATTCGAAAGGGTCTTCGATCTCGTTGTAAGTTAGAAAATCCAACTTTATGTATCGAGGCACGAGAGTCTACTCGATATGTTCGTTGTTACATCACGGACCTTCATTGTTTCATACCCCCATTTCTCATTTTCTACGGCTACCCTTGGATAGATCTACACTCTTGCCACTATCAACAATATATGATCGAAGTTCTTCTAAAGTCGTTACCTTGTCACATTGGATTTGGTCAAGCCTTTGTTCCAATCGTTCTCGATCCCGTACATACCTTTGTAAGAATTCAACAACCTACTCCTCCAACGTGGGACTTTATCGAAGTGAATCGCTCATGATTGTTGCCTTTGATACCAATATGTTATGAACTTGGGTAAGGGCTCTAGTCACGGGCCGATGATGAACCTTGGGAGCTTGAATTCCTCTAGTGACACCAGCTACATGCTTGCGCCCTATGATGACTAAAGGTAGGCTCGTTGAGAGAGACCACCAATCTACGAATCATTATAAGGAAATCGGTTTGCTTCTCTTATTAAAACATATCTTTTAAATAGTACAAGCATAATTAATTTAAGTAATCTACTAAGAATATGAAACACTAACTAATAATGCTAATCGACTAAACAAGGAAATAATCAAAGAGAAATATTTAAAAAAATAATAATAACGATAATTATGCCACTAAATCGAGAGCCGAATTACAACCAATCTATTCCTTTGAATTCTCTTACGGCTACCCTTTTTTCTGCTATAATGACGACTCATAAAAGCATCACTAACACTTATAGCCTTAATTCAACCTTTTCTACGAGTCCTCTACTTATGTTCGTAAGTCCTCTACTTCGAGTTGGCATCAATGCCCTATCCATCAATTTTTCTTCCATAGTAAGTACACATAATTCTTCCTATGGTTTTGTCATTCATTAATCTAGCATTATGGATATTAGACACGAGTGCTATAGATCACATTATTTATTACGTACACCTTTTTCATACAAATACCCCTTTTCTCCATGTCTCGTTAAATAAACTTCTAATCAACAAGTGATAATTACACATGTTAGCATAGTTAAAGCTTCTTCACACTCACATTGCATAATGCTTTTTTTGTTCTTAGTTTTTCCTTCAACGTTATTTTTATTAGTTGGTTGATTAAGACTTTAAATTGTTCTTCATTATTTCATTCTAATTTGTGTCATTCAAGACCATCAATCCAAGAGGATGATTGGTACCGCTAGCAGAAGCAAGGCTTTATTAGTTGATAACTTCACGTCCTACTTCAACTACTTTCGACACTCTTCATCATTCTATTTCGAATACAATCGTTACTTCTATTATCAATAACTCTTTTGATGTATGGCATTATAGGCTTGGTCATCTTTCTTATTCTAGACTAGTTGCTTTACATTCTTTTTGTAAAGATGTTCCTGTTAATATCTCTAATATATAATGTGATGTTTGCCATATGCAAAACAAAAAAGACTCTTTTCCCATTAGTTCATCTTATTCCACAAAATGCTTTAAACATGTTCATATTGATATTTAGGGGCCTAGAGTAACTCCTTTGTTTGAATATCAATATTTTCTCACCATAGTTAATGATTACGGTAGAGCGACTTGAGTTTTCCTCATGAGACATAAGTCTAAAACTATAAAACGTATTGAGAACTTTTACTCTTGTTGATGCCTAGTTTCTTGCCAAAATTCTCACCATCGAACGGACAATGGTCAAGAATTTAACATGTCTTCTTTTTTACTTCAAAGAGTAACCTACATCAAACTTTTTGTGTTAAAAAAACCCAATAAAATAGTATTGTTGAAAGAAAACATCAACACATACCGAATGTTGCTATGGCTTTTTGATTTCAAGCACCTATTGCACTTGTTTTTTAGACAGATTATATTCTCGATGCGGTACATTTGATCAACAAACTTCTCACACTCGTGTTAGATAATAAAACCCTTTTGAGCTTTTATTTGGCAAACTTCCTACGTATACCAACCTTAATGTCTTACGTAGTACGTGCTTTGCATATAACTTTGATCATAAAGTTTGAATTTGGTTCCGGATCTTTTAAGTGTATTTTCTTGGGTTTTTTTATTGGAACCAAAGGTTACAAACTATATAATCTTCAAATACAATATCTCGGTGTCTAAGATGTTATTTTCTATGAACACATCATTTCATTTGCTCATTTCTTAATGCATTTTGCCTTTTCTTCAAACTTTGTGCTTCTTAACATTTTTCCTGATTCTTTCTTTGATATTTCTAATTCTTTTTCTTCTTTTCTTCCTCCGACATTACTTATGTCAAAAAATGTCATAAATTCTTCGATTCCACATTGTCTTCTCCTTCGTTCTTCCTTCAATTTCTTCCCTTTTAGAACCTTCTCAAGCTCCTTCAAGACGATCAACAAGATCTAAGATTGCACCTACTTGTCTTCAAGATTATTATTATGCTTTACATAGTCAACTATCTCAAGCTTTACCTTCGACTAGTTGTACTTCTCTTCTTCAAACGAGTTCTACTCCTCATCTTTTACTTTCCATTTTGTCCTATTCTCATTATTCACCTTCACGTAAAGTCTTTAGTGTTAATATTTCTACTACCATAAAACTTAGAGCTTATCATCAAACAATTAAGCATGGCTATTAAAAAATAGCTATGGATGCGAGAAATTAAGGCTTTACGGGACAATAATACTAGGGAACTTATTGATTTACCTGCTACTAAACAAAGCATATGATGCATGTGTGTATAAAATTAGTATAAAGTTGATAAATCAATAGAAAGGTATAAAGCACGTTTGGTGGCCAACGGATAAACACAACAAGCAAGTGTTGATTACCTAGATACCTTCTCTCTAGTGGCTAAAATGACTACTATCGAACTTTATTAGCAACTACATCTATTAACAATTGGCACCTACACCAATTAGACATTAATAATGTATTTATTCATGGATATCTTGAAACGAAGTGTAAATGGATTTGCCATTTGGGTTTCACAATTCTAAACTAGGACGGGTTTGCGGGTTATTGAAGTCTATTTATGAACCTAAGCGAGCAAATAGGAAGTGGTATGCTAAGTTGTTACGACTCTTGTTGCTAACGATTTCACTTTAGGTGCTTCGATCCTTCTCTGTTTGTTATGTCTACGATCACTTCCTTTATCGTCTTACTCATTTATGTTGATGATGTCATTTTAGCAAGTAATGACATGGATGAAATTGCAGCGAGTAAAGACTTTTCTACATAAGGAATTCAAAATCAAGGACTTAGGTTATTTGAAATATTTCTTCGGTCTTGAGGTTGCAAGATCTTCAAACAGATTAGTTGTGCTAGAGGAAATATGCTTAGGAATTATTGCGGGATACATGTTTTATTGGTGCAAAGCTTGTTAAACCTCCTATGCTATCTACTCGTCAAATTAAGTGATGGCGATAACACTCTTCTTTTTGACATTAGAACCTATAAAAGGTCGGTGGGCAAACTCCTCTATTTGACCAACACTAGGCTCGATTTGTCATATGTTGTTCAACACGTATCTTAGTTTTTGGACAAGCCAACTCGAGCACACTTAATTGTAGCACATAGAATCCTTCGATATATTAAAGGTGCATGTGGACGGGGATTGTTTTTTGCATCCAATAATCGGCTTCGACTCCAAGGGTTCTCTAATTCGGATCGAGGTGCTTGTGTGGACACTAAAAGATCTATAATTGGATATTATGTTTTTCTTGGTTCATCTTTTATATCCTAAAAATCCAAAAAGTAACTCACAATCTCTAAATCTTCATCGGAGGCAAAGTATAGAGCTCTTACAACAATGACGTGAACTACGATGACTCTTATGCTTAATGAAGGATCTTCACATTCCTCATCCTCAATCAACATTGATCTTCTATGATAATCGATCGGTAGTTCATATAGTAAAAAATCTTATCTTTCATAAGAGGACTAAGCATATAGAGATTAATTGTCATATTGTCGGGGAAAAACTTATGAAAGGTGTTATGCATCTTCTTTCAATTCGTTCAACTAATTAACTTGTTGATTGCTTCACCAAACCATTGGCACCTGTAGACTTTGCCTTGCAAATATCCAAGCTAGGCACCTTGGATCTTTATGCTCCAGCTTGAGAGGGGTATCAATGCATGTGTACAAAATTAGTTAGATTAGCTTCTTAACCATAGTTAGTTTTTTGTTATAACTAAGTTGTACGGTTATTATTGTAGTTAAGTTAGTTAGAAATTAAGTTGGCTTTTCCTACCTCTGTATAAAAGATTAGAGGAGAAGAAATGAAATCATAAGCTCTCTCTCTAAAAAATCTTGTTAATAACGAACGAAAATTTTATGATGTTTATAAGGTGTTTGAGATACAGTTCACATTTTATGGTGTTTTGGACAGGATTTGAAATGTAGCCCATGCAAAGCACATCAATCTCATGCTATCGGAGCTTTTTAGCTACATACGAATTCCAATTTCAGTTCTGTTTCAGTCTGGTGTAAGAAACTATAATGTCAGTTTATGTAAAAAATTTATCAAAGCAGAACTTTAAGCGTTCAATCAATCGCTTTCATTTTAATACATGAATCATCTACCTAAGACTCATAAGTCAAATATATTTTCAAGCCAAATTCATAAAAAAACAAAAATGCATCATAATTGAAAAGTTCCATTATTTATAACCTTCGGGCTAAACTGTCATGTACTTGAGAACGGCTGCACGTAGTTTTTCCATGAAAGCTGCTGCTTCTTTCTGCACAATACAAATTGTTTACGAGTTCAGTCTATAGCAAATCATTAATCGTGAAGCTCAGGACTTTTGTTCCTTTTCCTTCTTAAAAGGAGAAGTTGAAGGGAAATGTTTATAAATGTCTAACAAATGGATTTATTTGACAAAAGAAATTTTATTAGAAATTCATGCAAACAGTGTTACAAAATGGAGAGTAAAACATCCACTCCTTTATAATATCAGATTTATAAAGAAAACCCCTAGAAGGCACCTAAAGTGAAAACGCATTTATAAATTCATGTTTTGTCTAGTATGTTTGGTCATAGCAGCTCTTAGAAGAAATCTGCTCCAATATATTCCCATCCTACACATTGATTGTGGTGCCACATATCAACATGGTTTTTTGTGTTCCTCGACCCCATAGGCAACACTGAAAGAGAGACAGATGCAAAACAGGATGAGAAGAAAATTTAGTCTCCAGCTCTTACCTGTTTACCTTGGTTGGCGCTTGCTATGTTTTCATCAAGAAGTGTTAACAATGATCTGTTAAGTTCATTCTGCTCAACCATTTCCAACAACTGGAATAATAACCAAAGAAACAAAGTCAACATAATTAACAAGGCAAAAGAATAGTAAAATGTTTAAATTAAAAGATTGACAAGTGAAAATGGTAGTGCATACAGTGGCTTTTATATCCGTTGATGTCAAGATTTTTGTCAGGCTTTTCTTTGCCTTTACAAGTTCACCTTGCATTTTATCGTAGGCTTCTACAACATGACAAGAGACCTAGTCCCATCAGTTTCTATTAAACAGGCAAAAATTAATTCTTCTAAGCAAAAGTTTGCAGAGACTACAGACCTGTTCCTTCCTGCAGAGCTTTCTGTAGTGCTTCCAACTCAATCAATCTGTCTTCCATCTCCTACAACAATTGCCAACATTTCTATAAATTGGTTTGATATGGTTATGCAAAGGGGATTCAACTTTCACAGATAACTCTGAGAGTGAACCTCAGTTTTTGAAACAGCAAAACGAAGCTGCCCCAGTTCAAATTGTAGCTGCGAGAAAAATTTCTGGTTCAATCTGCAAATTCCCCATGGGCATTGTTTTCAGGCAAAATTTGAGGTTAGTAAATAAAAATGAAACCCCATTCTTACTGACAATAAATACCAACCCTATAACCAGTACGACACTAAAGGTAACTTATCATGGTGCATGATGCTTTAACATTCATCCTTTACTTTGCGCAAGAGAGTGCTATCATACCAATGACGCAATTGATGGAAAAGAAGGAAAAAGAACCACCAGAGACAGTTCAAGGAAAAGCTATTTCCTCTTCCAGAACTGGAGTTTGCAACGATCTATGCTTAAATTGGGAACGTTATACTTGAGGGAGTCGTTATCAAAACAGCGTGGAATCATATCATTGGCTTAAGAAAATTAGTATCAAGAAAAATAGCTTAGCCACTAGAGAACTATTTCATTGGAAGAGGCAAAATCTCAAACATACTGTCTACACTAACAACTCACAACATTATCCAAATATATATAGCATTAGAGCTTAAAATTTAAAAGGACTAACCTTGGCCTCAGCCTAGCAATCTCAAACTCAACCTCTTGAGCTTCAGTATCAAGAAAGTAGTCTATCAGCTTTTCTGGAGTATCCGGTATCACCCGAGACTAATCAAACGTCCACGCAAACCAACATAACAGACATCGCAGTCACAAACACAACAAAATAATAACGAATATTAACAATAACAACGACAAATTAATTAGATTATTACTTGGCGAAGAGCATGACGACGCTGTTTTTCTTCAATGGCTTGCTGCTCAAGTGCCTCGCGAAACTCTGCGTCTTTCTCGAGCCTTCTTTTAATCTCCCGTCGAGCTAAGTGGCCAGTTTGTGGTGGCCCATATAACCCCTCTGGGTCCTTCCTTCGCATAAAAAACAAAACAGAAAATATAAATGGATGGTTAGAACCCATCATTGAACGCAGAGTGTTAAAAAAATTGAAGATTCGATTTGAGATAGTGTATTAAGAAAAAGAAAAGAAAAGTTGGGATACCCATTGAACACAGGAGATTCTGCAGGGTTTGTAACTAGTTCTTGTGATTGGTCTTGTACAGACAGTGATACTGATGCCTCCGAGTGTAAGAGAGGCCATTTGATGATGATGGCCGTTTTTAAACTTTAACTGAAGAAGCTCTTGTTTTTTCTCAGTGTTTGTGTTATCTCGTTTCTGTTCTTCCTTGCTTTTCTTTTTATCTTATCTATCTATTTATCTGATTTCTTGCTTTTGTTTTGTTATGTAATTTTCTAGCTTCTGTTTTGACTTCTATTTATCTGCGATGGCGGGAATCACAGCAAAACCATGGATATACCCCAGATGGGCTAAGTCAAGTTGGAACTGGAATGATCTTTTAAACTATATTTAGAAGAAGAAATTAAGCCCAACCTAACATAATGGGCCTAAAATATAAGACCCAGTGAAGGTTTATTCTTTTTAATAGTCTGGCTCATTCGATTTATGGTTATCAAATTTTAGAGGTCCTTGGCCTTGTCCCTGACTTTATCAATTTACTGACGCTAGGTAATACGTATGCCCCAAGAGAAGGGAAAACATTTTCCAGTTTCTCAAGCTACAACCAAATCAAGAAACATAGCTTTAACGCTTAATGCTTCAATTCATCTGAAAAAACTGAGTTGATTAATTTGGTGATCAGTTGATAACCTAATTAATGATCAAAATGCAATCATTACAGAATTCATTTAATTAGAAAGGTGGGTGAGAGTTGATTGTAATCGCAAGTTGCTTGCTTCCAGGTACTTCCTTGAATTAAGTAGTTGAAGGCCATATGAGACCTCGTTGGCAAGTCTATATGTGATGCCCATATGATCACTAAAACAAACATCCCAGCAGGTCTCTTTGTCTCGCAAGAACCTCCAAACTCCAATTCATTTATGTGCCAACCAGGCAACAATTTAGCATTGACTTTTGTGTTAGGGAATTGTCATGTTTCCAGTATTTTCTTTGTGTTCCATAAATTCCATCTATCAAAAACACTATTGGCAGCTCCGTTCATATAAAATGTATCAGATTAATTATCTTGTACGTAGGAACTCTCGAGTGACGAGTCCGAGCAACAGGAATTAATACAATTGGAACACTGACAAACACTTTGCTCCTGCACTTGACGAGCTTCCATCCGAGAAATATTGTTGCCCAGCAGATATGAAGCCTGTCGTTCATTTCAAGCGGCTCTCTTCTCGTTCTGGCTCATTTTTGCCTTCTCTGAAGCAAGGAGCATAAAAGTAAATATCTATAAGGCTAAGGCGCTAGCCGATTCGAGTCGCCCTGATCATTTAAGATTGAAATTAAAGAAGTGAAGGAAACGATGCGAGGGCTCAACGGAAGCATGCTGCTGAATTTCAAAAATTCCAAAAACATAAATAGAGATCACAACTAAAGTAGATATCTCATAACCCATAACTCAAGAATCAGTTAAAGTATGATGAGAACACGCATGCAAGACCTTTAATTAGAATATTTAATTAAAGGTTGTAATATTAATTGAGATTTATTGATAAAAATAAATTAATCTTCCTAGCAAGTTTTTAATATTAGGTCAAGAAGGAAATAAACAAAGAAAAGATTAATTAAATTATTTGGGGATATTTGATTTAAATACATTTAAAATACTCTAAATAACTAAGATTCCTCCATGTCACCCACCATGTGACAATTTAGAAGGGTATAATGCATAAGTCGGCGGAGACAAAAAATTTAAGAGGGGGAGAGACTTCTAGAGAGAGCTGGAGCAAAAATTAAGTTAGTAAATATTAGAAACAATAGACCAAAAAAAAAAAACTAGTTAGAAAGAAAAGAGAGAGAGAAAGGGTAAGAAAGAAGAAGAAAGATAAGAGAGAAAAAAGAAAGAAAAAAGGAAAGAGGAGGAGGAGAAGAAGAAGAAGAAAAAGAAGTCGTGAGTTAGCAAGAAAGAAGAAGAAGAATCTAAATGATGGAAAGAAGAAAAAGGAAGAGATGGCCAAGGGATATGGATTGGCCAAAATACCTAAGAGGAAAAGGAGAGACAAAGCTCGTAAATCCTTTAAATGTGATCAAGATCAAGCTAATTAGAGGCAAGTGAAGTCTTATCCACAGTACTTAAATGCAATTAATATGTTGATTAATGATAATTGTGGATGTTCCAATTGATTGGTTAAATTCCTAATTGATGACCCAAACATGGAATTGAATTTTGAATATTGAAGTCTTGAATTGAGCGATAAATAGGTTGATTGAAATTGAGGCTTAATTGAGGTTTGATTGGAAAATTAGTGATTGTATTATTGGAGGCCATATTCAACCAAAACCCATCTAGAATTAGATTAGGTGGTTTGATATTTAAGTGTAAGTGGGTTAATTGTGAGGCATTATGGTGATAATTTATGTGAAATTAGTATGCATTACAAAAAAACGAGTAGTTTCGTCGCTAAATGTTGAAAATTCGTCACTAATAAGGGTTAGCGACGAAACATTGACGTAAAGGTTTTCATCATTATTTCACTTGTCACTATTTTTTTGTGATGGAAAATCCATTCTATTGTAATTTTAGCGACGGTAATTGCTATCACTAAACCGAAAAAAATTCATCCCTAATCTGTAGTTTCTTTCGTAGCTATTTCATTACTATTTTCATCTCTAAATAGCGATCGAAAATCCATCGCTAATTTTGAAATTCAATTTTTTGTAATTTTGTCACTATTCCATGCTATCTTTTAAAAATGATTTTTTTTATATTACGTCGCTAAATTTTAAAAATGATTTTTTATCATTTTTAATTATTTTTAAATTATTAATAATGGATTTTATAATTAATAATTTATATTATATTTAATAATTGATAATTACCGGTAATAACGTATATATTAAAAATAAAATAATATTAAAAATACCATTATACGAGTACATTCCATAAAAAAAAGGCTAAATGCCCTATCATTCATCTCGTTTGTCTAATCCTATATCCTCTTTCGATACTTGTATGGAGGGCTCGACGGGAGGATCAGTCGAGGGCTCGATCGAAGGATCGACCGGAGGTTCAACGAGAGGCTAAGTGGAAGGAACAGGTAGACTACCGACTAGCCGAACGGATCCATAGGCACCCGAGCTTATTTGTGCTTAACCTCATTACTAAAGATGTCATCGAGTCTTATTGAGATTTCGGACTATAAACGATCGATGTTTCTCCGAGATCTAGTTTCGTTGCTTTGAGATCCGACTTGCTGCTCTAAGATCTACCTTTGAAGTTCGTTTTATACCACCTACATCCCCTTCAACGCTTCCTTCATCACCTCTTAGTTCCTTTAAAGCTCTTCGTTAGTCTAGTCGATGGTGTAATGCAACGTTACGGAGAAGAAGCCGATGTCACTCGACCGGGACATATAATGCACCGATCGTGTGCCTATACCATAAAACCTTCTCTTCTTCTCTCCAACAATCTCGGGTATATGGCATTCGGCTCTATGATTCCTACCGTCGTCCGAGTCAGTAATCGACTCATTGATGAGCTACTCCACATGGTCCTGCGTAATCAAAATAATAATATCATCATTATAAGATTAAAATAAAATTTAGATTATATTTTCATATTTAATATTTGAAATTAAAAAATACCGACCGAGTGTTTGCTAGGAGCGCGGATCGACAAATGAACCATCGCGTCACTTGTGAGTTGTCCGGAACAACTTAAAACTTGTTGATCGACGGCTCAATTTTACCGCCTACAAAAAATTATTACGGACAATATGAGAATAAAATTAAAATGTTCCGAAATAAGTAAATAATAATATAGAGTGTGCAATTTATCAAGCGACGGGTGTGCTCTTCGAAGATATGGAGCCCCTTGTATGCCCGAAAGGACTCACACCATGACCATCGGTCTTTCATAATCGATTCCGCGATACTTGCTCTAAATGAGCCCTATGATCATGTCTCCCGAAATCGCTTACCACGCATCCTAGACCTCCCGACTAATATAAACAAGTTGGTTATTCTTCAAATTGATTTGTAGATGAAGTCGGTGTAGCTTCTCCTGGCCAAAACCTCTTATGCCACTCTAACAAGCACGTCGATGTTCACATCCCAATTAAAAAATTTCCGCACGATCAAAAAAAAAATATTAATGACTTTATTTGATGAGAAATTTTTTATTTTAATTATAAATAAAATTGATAATACGTTATCTAAAATTCACCGAAGTAAAAGTCTTTAGTGACGTCGGTGATAGACTTTCAAGACAATTTACTCTTGTCTACTTATTGCTTAAAAATCTCAAAGATCCTCATAGAATAATCTCTGCTAGGTGGAGTCAAATTATCGAACAACAAAATAATAAAAGAAATATTAAAAAAAAACCATAGGAATTATTGAAATTACATATTAAAGTTTAAAAATAATCACATACTATCCTCAATCAACGGAAATATGTCGTCAATTGGAGGAGCTAAGTGAACTTTCCGGAATGTCGGACATGTGAGCGAACGGGTCACTCTCGAAGGCCGACGATGGAACCTTAGGTGGTGATGTAGGAACACCGACCAATGCGGATGTGTTGGCTCCATGCCTACAGGAGCTATGGGACCCATGTAAAAAGCTTATCATCGGAGACCCACGATCGATACGGTAGGGGATCCTAGTGGACTATCTTCAAATGGTGATGCTCGTCTACGATTAGCGAATGTGATCCGATAGTCACTATGGAGGAACGACACCAACTCGATTACCATGAGTCATTGCTATATGATCTAACATTAAACAAATAAAAAAATATAAAAAATATATTATCAAAGTAAATTAATAAGTAATTAAATTAAAATACATCATTTGTTATGGATACAAAAGAATCAAAATACACAACGAACATTTAGTGAAGGTAGAAAAGCCGATATTATTAATTGTATGTAACAAATTAATAAAGAGAAAAAATTACATCATTTCTTACTATTACAACAAATGAAGTATAAATTTAATTAGAACTATCGTAATCATTGTTTAAGTTATCATCTATATAATCCGATGCATTCTCACAATCATTTTTTTCGTCAACCACACATACTTCTATATCTACAAATGATCCATTTGGATCATTCAATAAAGTGACATCCTTGACTTCCTTTATCAAATCGTAGTAACCGATGAATCAAGGAAATCAAACACAAACCTAGCTTTGATCTTACATATAGCCCACCAATCTTTATTCTCGTACCTTAAGCTAGAGTACTCCATATAATACACCCGAGTCGATTGTGATACTAGGACAAATTATTCATAACTATTCAAGGTTCTCTTCGAGTTAACATCCACAAGTTTGTACTATGGATGAACCCTTGTTCTTATGGTGTAGGATCAAATCAATCATATTTGAACAATATTATTCTCTTAATTGGTAATGTAGAATACTCTACTTCAAGAATTTTCATCGGTATCCCATAATAGTCCCTCTCAATTGTATTATAATTGCTTCTTTTAATGCGGACACTACTATTGAAAGATCCTATTTTCGAATATACCTCAAGTGTGTGAAACCTATAACCATTAATAAAATAATGATTGTACAATCTTACGAGTAAGCATTGTATAAGATCTTTCAAGAACTGGTCTTTCATGAAAATCACTTGTACATTTTGTGTCCGTAAATTAAATAAAAAATCCTTATAAGTTTAGTTATCTTTCAATTAATGCTATCAATAAACTAAATATAAAAAATGATAATACTTACATATTGATTAAACCCGAAGGCAAACTCACTTTGAATTAGAGCATCGGCCTTATTGTCGGACATAAAGGGCTTATTTAGTTACATTTCGATAAGAAATCCACTAAAAAGAAGAGAATTAACAACGAGACATGAGTTAGTCTCTACTATGTTTCTAATATTATTATATGTAATAAAATAGGTATGACATAGAATTTAAATTTTGATAAACTCACTCAAAGTGAGGTTTTACTTCTTCATAATTCAACAATATATATTGATGGGCTATTTTATGTTCGAGTTGTGTCAATTTTTGTATTTTGTGTTGACTAGTTGGTTAACCTTGTTGTTTAAACATGGATAGCATCCCTTCAATATGGTCGTTTTCTTCTCCATCGTAGTAGTCAACATTACACATCACTTTTTTATGCCTAGTATGTACATGAGGTTCGAAATAATACGAGCAAAATAAAGAGGTTTCTTCAAACAAATA